TATTCAAATAACATATTTTCTGTTTAAAAATCTGCATATGTTGAATAATAGAATAAGACTACATGTATATGTTATGACTCTTCTAAAATTGTGAGTGTAAATGTGTGTACATATGTGAGTGTAATTGTATCTGTAAAGTAGTGAAGTATTTCTATGTATACCTTAGGAAAAAATATTCAGGCAGCATGAAATTAAATGATTTGTTTCAAAAGTAAAATATAGCTCTATGAGTATGGTGTGTATATATATAATATATATCATACAAGGTGTAATACACAATTTCCTACTTCATTGCAAATGTTCTCATTTGTCTCTGCGTGATTGCCACTAGAAAGTATACTCAAGTCCAAATAACAATCATCTCTGGAATAAGCAAGAGTAATAATCATATAGATAATTTGTAGTTAAATAATATGTTATTCTTGTTTGGTATCTGCTGCAATTAAATGGTCAAAACATACATAGGAAGCCAAAAAAAAAAAGGTTTTTTTCTGCATTATAAAGAAAATCATACCCATTGCTTCCTTTTTAAAATTACTAGCACTGCATTTTCACTGCTGGTTTGTGAAAGAAAAAGTTTTCTTGAGTGAAAATGTGAGTCAAATAAATGAGATCAATTTATAAAAACTCATGTATTTATGCATGGAGAGCTGTGTAAACATTTACATGAAAAAGTGCCTTATTTTTGTCTTGCATCTCAAGTCTCTTTCTGAAATCATGTTTTTACCAGCTTCAACAATTAGCAAACTACTTTTCTGTTAATTTATCACTGATGTAATAGGTATCAGTCATATTCCCACCATCATTGGCCACCTGGCCAGCATCTGAAAGCAACTGACTCTACCCCAACCCTCATCTCAGGGGCATATTTGCTAGTCTCTGCATCAATTATATACTAAATTTTCATTTTTCAAGAGTCAGATGCAGATGGAATGGGAAAAATAGGCACTGAATTCCAACACATCTGGAGACACCAGGTTCAAGATGTTTAGGCGGTACAGTATTTCTATGCAAAGTCAGGCAATGCTACGTTTCTGTGGATTTCTCTGTATGGTGAACTCCTGAACCGAAGGAGACAGTTTTCTTAAAAAGTTCATTCAGGACTTGCATTGACCCTAATCACTTAGAATGGATTTTCCTGGACAGAAACATGTCAGAACAGGGTTTCCTGGGCACAACTACATTTTGTATCCTTTGATATTCTTTGGTGTATCGCACTGGATTTGTCCTTCTTGAGTCTTGACTCCTTGCTTTTCTCATGACTCCTAGTCCATGCCAAACTGTCCACCTTGACCTGGCCCTGACATTGTAACATAATGGATGGGCAACTTAAAATAGCAATAACAATAGTGATAAATCTCTGAGGGTGCATACGAAGCAATGTCACTGATTTCATGAGGTAGGTGTGGCCCTTTTTTTGCTCTTTGGGGGAGGATTAGGATTTTAAGGGGCAAAAAAGCAGAGGATTAAAGGTTTCCCCTTAAGCTCCTCAAAATAGGGGAAAAAATTCTCCAGTGGGAGGCTGCAGGAGTTGGGGGGGAGTTAATATCTGCATGGCTTAAGGCACTCATTTCGCCCCTTAAATTTCCAATCTTGAGAAAACCAAAAATTGTGTCTCTGTCCATTTTGGGGGTGCAGTGGAGCTCTGGAAAGCCCTTGAGAGTGCAAAAAGGGCTGCTGGTTCATATGGTCTCTGGGTCATCCCCTTCCATACAAACAAGCCATTCCAATGAAGTGCCTCTCTGTGGAGAACGGTGGGGTAAAGCGGAGGGCAAAATGCCCCATTCTCAGAACATAGCAAGACAGAGCATCAGCCTGCCAGCCTGCCAGCTCCTTTCCTAGTTTATAGTACTAGAGAAGAAAACAAATCCCTTAATGGATGTGAAATGTTAATGACATTGCCTGAGTATGAAAAATTGTGGTCTGACTGTTGCATATACTTATGGACTTGAACTTATGGCTTTAAGCAAAGGGTAGAATGTTTTTGTACTGAGGCAAAATCCAGAATTTTTATTTTTCCTTTTCCCAGTTGTTTCCAGCCGATTTTCTTTTGTTTCTTGAATTCCTTTTTTCTTTTTCTTTTCCTTTTAGTGGATACAGTCTCATTTTCTTGGCACCTTTAAGCAGAGTGCCTTACAACTAAATAAAACTCTTTTTTTGATAAAATATTTTGTATTTTTTAATCTTTTATATTTTCACAAAGTATCTGTGTCCCTCTCCTTTGGTGTGTGATGATAGATGATGAGATAGATAGATGATAGATAAGTAGGTAGATAAGAGAGAGAGACCTCAAATTGTATGCAAATACAACTAAATTATGGTTTTGGCATCTTCAAGTGACCAAATAATATATCATTTTTTAAAAAATGAATGCTGTATGAAAAATACTGTAATCGGGCCTTGTAATACCCTGAAAAGTCACAAGGTTGCACTCATGTACCAGTTTCATCAGTTTCAGAACACTTACATGTGGCAGAACCTTATATGTGGCTTATATGTGGCTTAGTTTCAAATAAATAAATAAGATTCTTTCCTTGTGCAACCTGAGAAGTCGACAGATGAGGTGGTGATGGTAGGAAATACCATTTTTCCCTCTGCACAAAGAATTTGCCTGAGTATTTTTTTAAACATGAGAATTTATTTTTTCCACCATAGATATTATATTGTTCATCCAAAATAGTGATGAATCCAGGCTACATTGAGGCTATGATAAGAAATAAAAAGAGCTTCACCTTTATTAATTGTGTAATTTTGAGGCTGTAATCCCATAATCCCATATAGATACACATGATCAATCTTTTAGCAAACCCTAGTTTCAAAGAAAATATTATTATGTGACCTGGCTTTAGGAACTCCAAAAATTTTGGCTGCATTTGCACATAGGAAGTTAAACTAGCTGAGTCCATCCTTTTGAGGACTTGGATGCAGTGGCTTGAAGTTATCACCGTCATCAAGATCATGCCACATGTAAGTGTTCTGAACCTGTATCATCATGATTTGGTGCTCAATTTTAAAATGCCTCAACATTGCACTTTACCTCTGATATGCAGCACAGCAAAAGTAGAAGCCACGAGTAACTTTTCTTCCAGGATATTGTTGGGAGAATGTTGGGACCCAGGAGACAGGCCATCATTGGGTCCTGTTATATGCAGAGGGGATGGATAGATCCCACCCTACATGTTAAACAGCTGCATAAATTCTTTTCTGCATAAGTCTTGCAATTCTGACTGTTCAATCTGTGCATTGGTTTGGGGCAGACTTCAAGCATTCCCTTAATTTTCAACTTGGCCACAAGGCTTAACTTGGCAATTGTGTGCCAGTAACACACTTTCTGGGTTGCTGCTGCTGATGGGATTGAACACAATCCTGACAAATCAAATCAACTCACTCAACTCTCAGCATTCTGAATATGGGCATAAGGTTGGCCAATGCACAACAACTATTTATGTATGTATGAATGTATTTATGTAGTTTCCTTTCTCTCTCTCAGAGCAGGTTAATGCCACAAAAACAGAAACCACAGAATCTCTTTCCTTTTGTTAGAAAGTTCACCCCTCCTAGAAAGGAAGTTCACCCCTTCCTATGCTAAAAGGAAAATATAAGAGTTTAAAAAAAAAACATTCAAAACAATAGATTTCTCATGCTTTATGTAGGTAGGTAAGTAGGTATGTACATATTTCAATTTTTATGGCCACCCACTCACACATGACTCTAAGAGACTTACCAGGAATTTTGGCAGGCACCAGGTTAGAGAAGGCAACTGTCTATTTTCCTACTTGGTTGGTTTGTTTAAATTTATTAGCCACCCAACTCCCAGATTCCTCATCAATTATTTATATTACATCTTTTGTGGGCAATTCTTCTAAGAGTGCTGCCTTCTATCTTGAAAATAAACCATGCCACTGCCTGTCTCAGGATATGACTGGGCTGACCCACACTATTTATTTACAGATTTTGTATCAGGGTATTATTCTGCTCATGGCAAGACTGCAGTCTGGATGATATCATCTCACTCATTCAGGAAAGAGGAAGAAACATTCCACCATGGAACAGTGACAGTGAGTTCAAAACAGGCAAGTATTTGTGCAAATTAAATGTGGGGGCTTGGCGGGGGAGTGATGGTAGGATTTCCACTAAAATTACTTAGTTTCAAACCAAACACTGAAACTGGTAAATACATAGCTGCATGTTCTAATTTTCCAAAAGCAGTAGGAAACTTTCACCAGATGAAAATGCTACCTTCCCTTGATCAATGGCCAATTCATTAGTTAGCTACTTGTGAACATCTAAAATTAGGACTAATTTCAAACAAAGAACTAGGATCAGAAAGGGAATTGCAGAACGCAAGAACAGTGGTGTGTGCTCAATGCCCAATTCTGTGGACTTTTACAGGGACTTCTTGAAAGAAGAAAAAGCAATCCTGGAGTGCTAGGCTTGGTTTACATGAACTGTTGACTTGTTTCTATTTGATCCAGCTAATAAATGTACTACAGATGTATGTATGCATACAAATTGGAAAGGATTCAAAATTCAGAAGAATTGTCAGTGACCCGTGACCAAGACATGACTACCATATATTTTGGGATTTGCCTATATCTAAGCTGTTTTCCTGGCAACAATACAGAAAGTTCAGCACATATTTGTCATCTCACACAACATCATCCCAAAGTCATTTCACCAATAAATAGCAGCTGTAAAAATCTAAACTAGAAATGAAGAAAATTTGTCATTGCCTATCTGTGGGCTGTTCTTTTGACTTCCAAATCTGGTTTATAGCATTTGAATTTCCTCATGATCTCCCATCCAAGGACCAGCTAGGTCTGGTTTGGCTTCACTTTTTGAGATCAGCCAAGTGTGGCTAGATGAGATTGGAAAAAAATCTACATTTTTACCAAAAGCAGAGGAAAAACTTCTATCTGTGTTTTGTTTTGGTTTTCATTTATAATGAGGTTTATGCTCCATAAAACATTAAGGAAAGATGGGCCCATAGATTTTGCACAATGAATTTATTTGCTCATAAAAAACAATTCAAACACAACTTCTCGGATATGATAAATGGATTTTTTTTCATAAATCTGAAGATATTGTGACTGCAACTGTGTACTTTGAATAGATCATGAGAAGGCTATGTAGAGTAGAGACACCAACCTTCTTTTTATTTATTTCCTCTGTGTCTAAAAACAGTTCATCAGCAGAAACAATTAACACATTGACAAACTGACAAAATAGTGCATTTTGTATAATTCTTACCCTGGTAGTTTTTCTCCAGCCTAAAAATGTTCAGCTTCTCTCTCAACCAAATTTAAAATAGCCCAAGTCTTCTCATGTACATACCCTAATATTCAGAACACTGAGGAATATCTTTCCTAAAATATTATTCTTATTGCAAAGTAGGCTGACTTTACAAAACAGAATCCCAATTCTCATCCACCAGATAAACATTCTTCTGAGAACTGTACCAAGAGTTGCACCATGATGTGATCACTAGGTGATGTTTTTCCTGACTTCATGGAATAGGGAAAGGGGAAGTAATGCTCTGGAGAACAAACTCTGTGTTCCAGGGCCAGATTAAGGCCAACTGATGCTCTAAGAACAGCCCCACAATGCCCCTCAGCCCTTCCATTGTGTAACTGACAAGACATCAAGACTCAATAAGTGCTGAAAACTAAAGTGGAGTGTGGCAATGAAAGAGTTAAGGGCACGATAGCTAGGGGGGGAAACTGTGTTACCCCCTTCCCTTAGTGCTCTAAGCAGGTGCTTATTTTGCTTTCTGATTAATCCCGGGTTGCTGTGTTCCACTGAAGGAAGTATCAGTTATCAATGGAAGCAAAAACCTGAAGATGTGGTAGTTTAAACAGAATGAACTGAAGAAATCAGTGATGGAAAGTACTGTATAGTTCACTGTTTTCAAATAGTATTTCCAATGAAAGATGACTGTGTGGTCACTTCTGATTCTGTGCTGTCTCCATCGACCGTATTCACAGTGTCTGGCGGCTGATAGATATCTTGAATCAAAATGGAGTTTGTATGCTTCCACTCTCTATATTTCTTTGCTGTCAGCTCATGATCCTCCAGCAACTGGTTTATCATGGCCAAGTCATGTTCTTTGCACTAGTCAACACAAGAAGAAAAAGCAAGTTATTAGAACTTGACACTGGGATAGACAATTAACAATCTCGAGCCGCCTGGTCTTCTCATTAAGTATGAGAAATAGTTTTTCTTTTTTAAAAAATTACTAGTAAGTTCCCATTTCTAAAAAAGTAATCATTTCAATAGGAAAAATATTTTTCAACAGTTGCTAAACATCCCATTGATCATAATGGTTGCATTTGCACTATATGAATAATAGACTGCATTACAAATTAATGAAATGGGCTGGGTTTGTACAACAAGCTAAGCTACACAAACATACACACCCACACACACACGCACAAGTCCCTAACCAAGACTAACATTAATTACATGTAGCCCATCATGTGAATGCAGCCATTAGCTGTTTTCACTAGCCTGGTGAAGCTGTTTGTGTGAATACACCCAGAAGGCCTTTCTCCATATCCAAAATATCTAGAACATCTCTCCTCCATCAACCTTTACCTTTAAGGTACTATTCAGAGCTCGAATTTTGTGAAGTTTCTCATTTACAGAGGGGTTTTTGCTCCTTTTGATAAAGGATTTTCTCAACTCTTTCTTAGTAGAAGGTCGCCGGTCCCCAATGGGAGATAAACTTGCTTGCTCTAAGGACTTGTAGAGTTTCTCCATTTCATCTACAGAACATTTGGTACGGTCTACATGGAAGACAGAAGACATGATGTTGGTGATAGATTACAGGTGAGCTAGGTTTTGTAAGTAAAGCATGTTAGCTGAATGAGAGAATGCTACTTCTGGCGGTCTGGAGGAAATGAGAAAAAACAATATATGAACTATTTTGACATTCTCATCTATCGGTTGCTATGCTGACATATGAAGGATACAGAAAGCAGGGCCCTGGCTCCACATGTGATGGCCAAAATGTACACATAGAAGTTAACAGCTATGGTGCATTATTATAGAAATGACTGGAGCAGCTACTTTATAAGGAACATTTTCTCCATCTAGCAGTATAACTGAGCATATGAGTCTATCAGGTAAACTATTTTATTTTTAATAGCAATGTTATAATACTGTGGTGCACCTCAAACATTTGTCATTGAAAACTTCCTAATACGTGTACTTCATTTCATAGCGTTATTCAAGTATAACATCCCATCAACTGTACTTGGATGAAGGCTAAATTTAGGTTACGACTTTAGACCAATGCTGAAGAAAATACCTTGGACTGTAGCAGAAAAGTCTGTTACTAGAGCCAATATGTAATTTTGCCATTTCTTTCTGACTCACCACCTCATTAAATATGGCTCAGTTTGTTGTAGGAAAAATTGAATGTGCAAGCTATAGTCCATTAACCAAGAGCCAGTCTCTTTCTATGGCAAATTTTATCTCATCAGTTTGAATGATGATAGGTGGAAAAACATGTAGAATTTCTATCAATGACACTAATTTGAACTTTTGCTGAACATCTGTCCAAAACCAGCAGTTCCCACTGTCTTCACTGAAGTAAACTAAAGTTTTTTAGGTCTTACTCTCTCATATAATCACCTTAATTTCTTTCAAAGTTCTCTAGAGTCCTCCAAAAGGGAGTAGAAGACATTGATATATTAAAACCTCCTTTTAGACTGGAATTCTTATGAAGATTTCACCAAAAGAAGTGAATATGTGTAGCTCAGGGTTGACAAGAAGGAAAAACAGGAGTCATTTACAACATACAGTGTAAAGACAGTAACAACCACTATGTAGGACAGACACTGCTGTACGGCCAAG